GTTTTTCACATTTCTTTCCCACTATTCTTTTTTGTGCATTACTGAGCCAAGGCTTCATTTTCTTCAGGGACATCCTATTCCTAACACACTGTACTATTCTACCCTACTCTGCCCTGTTTCAAACACGACAGTATTCAACCAACAAACCAAATCACAGTAAATCCCTCTACCATCTGCACTTTTCCCTTTAAATTTTATTGGTATTAGCTATATAACTGTCATTATTTTCCTTAATAATTTCCTTTGTTTGTTCTTCAAATTCCATTTCAAATCACTACACTCTTTTGAATCTACCAAAATGTATATTCTAGTTCGTTATCATGACTTTGGCTAAAGTTATCATTTACACAAACATAAGCATAATTAAAGATATGACTTTTCTCTAAAATTCTGTACAATCAGACAATTCTAACTCACTTGTCACACTGCCTCCTGTCTTCTGCTCCTTGTAATGACTCACTTGGATCATTTTTGCCCATCTTCGCTTCTCTAATTTACCTTTTCCTGCCTGTTCAGCGAGCTGACTTCACTTTCACCAAGCTGCAGTAATGATTTGCCCTTGAAATGAGGTCCTTTCCTGCTTGTGTTCTCCAAGAGGTTATTACTTTAAAGTTTTAATAATGTTAACAACAAGAAAACCATCAAGTGATTTTTCATTCCCTCTCTCACCTAATCCTTTTCATAATTTCAAGAAACAACGCCCCTGATTCATTGGGCTCAGTTCCTTTACATTTCCCTCCTGTCCTGCACCACCTCCCCACCATTATCTCCCCATGACCTGACTGCTCAGTCCTCCAGTGGCTTCCTGCACCGCGGGTCTTAGGGGGATCTTCTCTCACTGACCTCCAAACACGCTTCACTCTCCAGCCTGAACTCACTTCTCCCATTCTCTACAGACAAGCCCACTGTCACCGGCCATCCCGGGCTGCTGGACCCGGCTGCTGTGCTTTTGTTCTTTAGCTTCCTCCAATGCTCCTGCCACTCCCCTCCATGCGTACTGCAGGATCCTGAACCACCCAGCTCCTTCCTCCCCACCCCTCCCCTCCCTTCCCCTTTCCTTCCCCCTCCTCAACACCTCCTACACTTCTTGGATTGCAAGCTTTCCACTACTCCTCCTTTATACTGGCCTGTAACTTGGCTTGGTTCACACTGCCTTTGACAAGCAATTATGCTTGGGCTACTTCTTTCACCTTGCTTTTCCACAGACATCCTTCAGGCCTATAACAAGTGGAGAGGCCTTCCACACAAAGTGTCTGTGTGTTTAATTCTATACCCTTCTGCCTAGGCTAACAACGGTGAGACACTCCATTTCTGAAAGGAGAAATGTTTCCTTCCCTGTTCAGCAGCAGCCCTTCTGACTCGTTACAGAAATGTGTCAAAACAGCTCCCAAGAAGAACGCACATGTCAGACACAGCATGAAATATTTTGAAAAGAAGAATAACCACTTGGTCCATTTCTCAATGGAGATTGAGAACAAAGGAAAGAAAAGAGACAGGAAAGAAATACCATCAGAATTCAAACTGAAATGAATACAGAAATCTCTAGGCACAATGTAAGGGAAATATATTGAAGCTTAGGTCTCTGGTGAAGCCAGATGCCACTCTGTACCTGCCTCTGCCATCATTTCTAACTTTAACGTCAGCTTTTGATCAAGGCTAAACCCTCACGAGGGACAATGGACACATGAAGGCCATGGGAAGCTAAGAATGATGGGCAGGCGATAGGAAGCTTTGGAAAATGCAAGTAATTCTTTAATACAATGCGCTTCCAAAAAAGTCAACAAACAAATAGAAACATGAACTTCACAATGTCAGTGCTTTATGGGCCTGGACATCATAAACTACTCTGCGAACGGCAGCTGTTTGTTATTACTCAGCAGCAGGACAGTTAGTGACCTGTCGTCCCCTACTGTGTAGAGAAGGCGCTGACCATAGCCAATCAGCTCTCCCACAGCCACAAGGGCAAAAGTGGTCAGAGAGAAGCAGCTCTGGGGCGCAGTGACTTCTTGTCAACCCATGCTGTCTCCCGGGACCTGAGCACTTATGGCCCAAGCAGTGGAAATCAGGAGTCCAGAAGGAAACGCTATCTGGCCTCGGCCGCCTGCCTCTGAGGATCAAATAAAACTATGTGTTTATAGAAGCGGATCAGCTGCTTCCCTGTGCGATGTGGATACTGTGGGTATCAAGATGAGTAGGCAAATGTGAATATCTACGGAAGGCCACAAACACAGAGCATCCAAAATGATGCTTCTCATTCTAGAGGTACTCGGTGTCTTTCCTTCTTTCCTTTGTCCCTGAAAGCCCTGCTGTCTCACTCACCATCTTACAGGGGACACAGAAACACATTGCTTAGTGGCTGTGCAGCCTGCAACATGACGAAACACAGGATATGATCTGACACGTTCAGGCACGGGACCGACCAGGTAGAAAGTAAGGGGAACTCAGGGCCCAATGGATTCACATGTCAATACCTAGAATAAAGAGTTCTTCTGGAATCTAAGTGGGTCCATGAAAGCAAAGGTAATGTCAGTGTAAGTGGGCACTACTTACTTCTCACTTTGCTTTTTTATGTAGAAAAGTACCAGAAGAGTACTTTTCTACATAGAGTAAAGCAGAGAAATTGACTTTAACAATGAAACGCAGTCCTAAACATCCTCTGAAAACAAGGCTAAGTGAGCTATTTTTGAAGCCCTCCCCACAAGACCTCCTGGGCAAGAATTTTATCTTTCTAGGTCAGAACTCACTTAGAATGAGACAAAGAAAAACCTGGACCTGGAACAAGAGGAAGACATTAGGAATCCATTCACCACGCTGCCAGAGATTTGTTTAACAACAGATGAAGAGTTAGAATAATAAGATATCAAAAGAACAAGAAATGGGCTAGAGAGAATAGATGAAAAATCATGACTTAGGAGTAAAAGGTGATACATTTTTACAGTACTCATGGGTTTGTTAGGTAGAAAAGGAAAAAAGAAATTAGAATGATGGGAAGAACCATTTTTCGAGTATTTCAATAAGAAAACATATCAGTATGCTTAAAATTAAAATTTGATTTTTAGTGTACTTAAGTAAGTACTAAATGAGTTATGGACTGATACGAATTTAAAATTTTCTAATATCCATTCTATATAATGCAGGATGGAGGGTGCTTCCACATGAAATAAATGACCTGCTTTGGTTTCTTTTATTAAGCATGAATGAGCATCATCTTCAGAGTGTATACACAGGGTCCAGGCATGCTAGTGGAGAAGGAGAGAGAGGGAGACAGAGAAGGAAGCCAGGGAGAAAGAGAACAGAAGATCTGAGGCCTTGTACCAATGCCTGGGACGCTAACTGGACTGGCAGGCGCCCTTCCGGAGCTGGCCCCTAGGGGGAGCTGTTGCCACGCCGGAGCCGAGCATGCGTGTGAGCTCACCCTCCAGCCAGGCGAGATGCGCTCCAGCTAGAAGCAGTGAGGTTTCCACACCTCCGGTTCCCGCCACTGACAGCTGAACAACTTGTTTTGTCTCTGGGAGCTCTTCTCCGGTGATTAACTGCTCACGGTGAATGCTAATCACGAGCAGGTACGGACTCAGGTCCAGGCTGAGAACAGCAGTGTCTGTTCTCTGCCTGGCGCTGCCACTTTCCTTGGGGTCTGAAGGTGCCAGGCACGGCCCTGGGACACAACTCGATCCCTGCACACCGATCCCTGCACAGGATCCCTGCGCACTGACCCCTGCACACGCCCCCTCACACGATCCCTGCACACCGATCCCACCTATCCATCGACCTCTCCACCTATCTGAGTGATAAACACAGCCTTTGCTTTTCAGCATAACACCGCTCCCTGAGAAGAAGCCACCTTTCACCTCTGGGCTCCCGACCAAATATGACTACAATGAAGGCAGTGTTTTAAGGACTTTTATAATAATCACAGGATAAATCTGCTGCAAGAATTGGTGAATTAATGAACTAATAATGTGTCCTCAGCTCCCCACGTCCCACATTGAAAATTTACCCCCAAATTGTCAGTTCTTAGGAACCACACCTCAGATTAAAATCTTCTCACCAGGGAGTCTATGAGAATTTGCTCTTGTGTTTTAAATCCTAAGTGCTTGTTAAACTGCCAGCATCGTAAAATTAGAGACCATTAAACAATATAAGGCAGCAAGTGATTAAATCTACCAAATACACATTCAAAGCAACTTAAGCTACTTTTTAATTAAAAATAAAACATCATTGGCTAAATTCAGATGCCATAGCTCTCCAGAAGTCAGTAGGCTTTTCAGGACGCAAACCACTGGAGGGCACCGGTGGGCGGCGCGGGACTCCACTTGGTGTCTGAGCCCAGGTTCCGGGGCACCCGGATGTTGACCCCCTCATGCAGGGGACAGGAAGGAGATCTGCACTGCACTTTGGGATGAAGCACCGTGAAGTTGAGGGTTAAATAAGCTTTATTTGCAAAGGCCCTGAGGGGTCAGGGTGCTCTGCCTTCCTGGCAGGGACAGTTGAGCATGAGCATCTCCGGAGGAAGTGGAGGCCCTGGAGATGCACGCGCCCAAAGGAGGGCTGTGTTTAAAGACAGCTTCAGCTATGGGCTAAACATTTCTCCAGAGAATCGTTAGCTCTTGAGGAACCAGGCACGGAAGCTTTGGAGTTAATGGAATCACTTGAAGTTGAAAGAAATGTTTACTGTACAGTTAGAAATAAATAAACATCGTAGCTTTAAGTTGTTCCTGCTTGTTTAAAATAACGAAAAAAAAAAGGGCCAGGGGCTTAGTCAACTTCAGGCAGGAGGCCAAGATCTAAAGATCAGACTTCAGATAGCAATGATATCACTCACTCTGAAGTCTTGATTCTCTTTCTGCGGCATGAGAAAATTTACTGGTAAAACCTTACCTCACTCAGCTTTCTTATTTTTAAGTCGATTTTTTTCCTCTCGAGAATGATTTTCCACGTACACTTTCTCTGCTAGATATAAATGCCATGAATTTACTCTTAGCTTTAGCTAACGGTCTTACCTGAAAAGCTTGCCCTGAAATACAGTACGGGAACTTGGTGGCTACAGGAATATAAGACGTGATACTCGTATTTAACCACTTCGGATGCTGCCGCGTATTCGGTCACTTCCGAATCATCCCAGGGTTCCTCTAGGGCCTCCTGGACAAAAGCAAAACAAAAACCAAATATGTGGGTCAATGTTAAAAAGCACTAACATGAAGAGGGAAAGAGGAGTTTTGGTTTTTTGGGGTTTTTTTCCTGCAAAATAACAGGTACAGGGCCATGAACTAAGAACAGACAATTACCCATAGTAAAGTTTAACACTGAGACCTGGGTAAATAGTCAAACCAGAAAACATTAGCATTAAGTCATTCCAGATTGTTTTCTGGAAGACAAAGCAGCTCTGGGGAAAGAAACAGGAAGGGGAGGGCAGCACAAAGTTCTATTTCAACAGCAACTCAAAATCTTCGCTGCACAATTTTAGCAACAAGATGATGGCTCTACAAACCACCTTCTTCTCTACCTGCACAAGCTAAAAACATCCTAACAGCTGCAGGAGAGGCTCTGAAATGTCCCCAAAGAGTCTCTTGTACTTGCCAAGTGATGATTCACTGTGTGCTGAACAATTCTCAGCTCCATCCTGAATAAGAAACTTACTTTGCAGGAGGCTGAGTTCATTAGGTATATTTTAAATCCTGAGATGGATGACTCTGCTTTCTTCATTATTATGTCCTCTTTGGTAAAGTTCAACAGTAACTCTAGATTTTTTAATAGATGACAAAATTAAACACCGTCTGACGAGCAGAGCTGGTGACAGTTATGCAGTCCCTCACCCGATCACTCTCTACCAGTTGGTTTTTTTTCCTTTTACTATGGGTGAAGTTTCTTAAGAATGTGTCTTTCTAGTTCCTGTCTACTAGTAAAAAAAAAAGAAAGAAAGAAAGAAAGAATGTGTCTTAATGCTTGGCAGCAATTAATTGGACGTGTTGAATCTGAGTCTGGGCCCTGCACGTGCACTTATTTATTTAGGCTGATGAATTCCCTTTGAAATTAAATTAGTAGAAGATGGGTTTGGCTCATTTCTACCTCTCATTAAGACAGTAATGGCAACAATGAACAATCAGAAGGGCCGACAGGAAAGACTTCAACCTTTATCAGGATGAAAGAAGGCTGGCGCGGAGATAAGTGAAGCCAAGACTGCTTTCCAGACCTGCCTCTCTCTAATAATTCTCTGCTCCTAGGCCGTCCACATGGGGGGTGGCCATGGGTGAGTTACAATGGACAATATTTACAAACACTTTTCACTGAATCCCAGTAAACATGACCAATTAAATACAATAAATTAAGCAACGAGAGAGAGAGAGAACTGAAATAAATGCCCAGTATTCAGAAAATTAACAACAGGAGTAAGGAAGAGGTGTTTCTGTTTCTGTTCCATTTTCATTAGTCATGATTATCTAGATTGTTCTTCTACAATACTTCTTTCAACCACATCTTTTTTTGCTGTTTGTTTAGTCAGTAACTGAGTTGCTTAGTATTTATAACTTTCTTCTCTTAACACTGTAACCGAATGGCATCTTAGTGCTGTGATTTGGATCTTAATTGTACACAAAGGCCATGCACAAGGGCTTCATGTCCCCCTGCATCTGCTACTAGGGAGCAGTGAACTTTAGCAAGAAGTTGGGTGGCTGGGCGTGCGTCCTAAAGGGGACATGGGGCCCTGACCCGACCTCACTCATTACTTCGTGCTGCCTGAGACACTGTGATGTCGGGCCCACCGCAGGCCCAATGGCGACAGGGTCAGAAACCGGGACCTGAACTGCCAGCCAGTAAGTCTCCTCATCGAAGCTGAGTTCCTCACAGTGCTGGAAAACTGACAAATACAAGTGGTGATCAAGAGGAATCTCAAATTCTGCACAAATACATAAAATACAAAACTAAACCTCTCACCCTGGCACTTCTCTACCTCTACATCGGCAACATGTTTAAGAGGCCAAAGTGCAATTTTTCCAGACTTTGGCACCCAAACACGTACTTGTATGTACACTCCCAATACCTCCTCTTCCCGCTGTTCACCCTGTTAAACTGTGCGATGTGCACGTCCGCTCCTCCTTTACATGCGTGCACAGCCAGCCAGCCACTGCCTGGCAGGGCTGTGGACCGAATGCAAATGCCTCCTCTGTGTTCCCTGGCACGCCTATGACATGGCTGTCTTTTGTGATTTTTGTTTGCACATTTCTAGTTTGCTAGGAATTTAGGTTCTTCTGCTACAAATAATGCTGCAATGAATATCCCAGCTCAAATATCCTGGCACACCTCTATTTTTCTATAGTGCAGATTCCAAAGGGTGAAACCAAAGCATCCGAGAGCACGCACATTTTAGATTTCAAGAGATACTTCCGATCTGTCCTCAGAAAAATGCTACATTAATTTATATTTCCAGAAAATAGGTCGGAGGATGCCCTTTCCTCATTTCCAATTAACATTGGATATTCTTTGCTTTGATTTTTGGCTATGTGCTGAAGTTTTAAATATATTTTTTGTTTTAATTCCTCAATTATTAGTAAAGGTGCACATCCACTTATAAGTTTACTGGTAATACTGAGGATAGTTTTTACACACTATTTTCCCAACTGTTCTCTTGTATTTTGCAGCAGTCTTTTCTTATTTCCATGTCGTCAAATCTGTACATTTTCTGTTTGCAGCTCCTGAGTTACCTGCCTTTAACAGGAGTTACCTCCTGCTGTGCTCCATCTCAGTCTTAATAACTATAAAAGTTCCTTCATGACGCACAAACATGTATTGCTGAATTAACATTCAGATCATTAATGCACATGAATTTTGTTCTCCGTGTAGCAAAGTAGATTTCTCCCAGATGCCTTCTCACAGTCCATCTTTTTCCTTATTGATCGTAACCGTTACTCTTACCATAACTTAGGGCTGTGTATATGCTTATTCCTTTGTGGAGTGACTTCACTTCTTAGCCCACCACTGCAAACCTTGAGCTCATACAGAATCTGAGGAATCCGGCCTGTGAGCCAGCCTTCTCAGGAGGGACACAACTTCTGGAAACAATGTTCTTCACACCAACTCAAATCAAGCACTCAGGAACGTGGGGGATGTGACCCCAAGTAAGTGCAGCTGGTGATCGATCAGGTACAGATCCAGGAGAAGGCGGGGCAGACAGAAGTCTCACTCTCTCAGTTCTGGCGGCAGCTGAGTGTCTCCATGGGACTGGAAGCCCGGGTACTTGTCCTCTGCCTGGGACAAACGCTGCATCACAGCCTTCTCCATGCAGGCGTATCTTTGCAACCTTGCTCATATCACAGTGAATCCCTGGCTTGCCTGTGCTAACATCATCTCATTACTTACAGTTGCCTCTGCCCACGCGAGTATCACCTTTAATGTCACCAATCGAGAAATCTCAGACTTCATATGCTCTCTGCTTCCCTTGGTAGCTAGTGCATCATTAGAACTTTAGGACGAAGGTTCCAATCTTATTCATCTTCACATCCCCGGGGACACTAGCCTAGAACTGAGAACCCTCGTGAGCAATCTTCTCAATTTCATTCTTTTCTGCACCACCTAAGTTTGCGACAGCAGCTAAAGAGGTAATTTACTGGTAACCAGACTGCTTCCCACCACTCTTCATCTTAAAAGAGGTAAAAGGAGGAGTAAAAGCACAAAACATCACCAAAGAGGGTGCACGAGGGGCAAATATGCATTGAAAAAAGATACACAACATCATCAGCCATCAGAGACAAATGGAACTGCTCCTAGCTGGCCCCGTGCATCTACCATAACAGCTAAAATTAAAAACAAGTGATTCCACTCAGTATTGGTGACGATGCAGGGAAATGAGATCTTTGATATATTGCTGGCCGGAATATAAAATATATAAGCTCTCAAGAAAACCACACATTGTTTCTCATAAAACTAAACATATGGGGCTGGGGATTTAGCTCAGCGGCATAAACACCTGCCTTGAAAGCAGGCAGTCATGAGTTCAATCCCCGGTACCGATAAAAAAGGAAAAAGACAAAAAAAAAAACCCAAAACTAAACTAAACATACAATTAGCATACAACTCAGCAACTGCACTGTTGGGCATTGTTCCCAGAGAAATAAAAACCCCAGATGTGAATGGCCATTGCAGTTTTATTCAGAATACCCAAAGCTTTGGAACAGTTCAGATACCATCAGCAGGTCGGTGGGTTCAGCAAACCATTCTAACATGCTATTTAACAACCAAAAGAACAAACTATGAACACAGATAATCACCTGCCCAAGTCTCCATAGATTTATGCTATCCTAAGAGATAAAAGTCAACCCCAAAAGGTCAAATATTGTGTGGTTCAGTCCCCAGTACCAAGAACCAAAGTCAAACGAAAAGTATGATTACGTAGTACCTCAGTTCATGAACTTGTTCTCCACAGTTCTGGTCAGAAACCGAGTTTGACGAGAACCAAATCAAATTCAATGGTTGGTTCAATGCTGACCTTCTGGGAAATTTGATTCAATTCTAATCCAGTTCCATTTGCAACCAGGATCATGGAGAGAACTTAGTTCATGAAGTAAGGCACCACTGTATAGTATTTTTGAAATAACATTTTCCAAATGAAGAGCAAAAGCACACTAGATTTTCAAAATGAAAGGCAACAAGAAGGTACTTATGGTGATGAACTGTTGGGGCTCTTGACTGTGGCCATGCATACCGAAACCTACACCCATGGGATGGATGTGGCTTGGCAGTAGAGTAGGGTCGGGGAATATTTAATTTGCTATCATAAAAAAAGTCACAGCCCATTCATTTTTCTCAAAATGTTGCAGTTTTATTTTAAATGAGGGGGTACTTGTGTTTAGAAAATTACATCCAAGGAGCCAAAAGATTAAGTGGTTCACATAATACAGAACCCCTGATTTTATTGAATTCAATTCACAGTAAGTTGACAGTGATCTCTCGTTTAGGGAATTGCATCAGAATTAAGCCTCATGAAGAAATCCCATTACAGCGGGGTCCCACGAAGCCGCGCCACAGGTACTGCCTTCAGAGCAAACCGGAGTGCATGCTGGGCTTGGGTGGTGAGATCCATATCTGTGCCTCTCCTGCGGGGAAAGCTAATTGCAGGAAGGAAGCTTCCCTGTATCACCAGCAGTCTC